TATATTTGTATAACTCTTAACTCAAAAATGAATACTTGAGCTGGGAGAGATCTAGAATAGCATTTAGAATTTGTGTTTAAAATGTTGACCAATTGCCGTTTTTATTTCGTGTTTTGTGTTTCAGCCCCTGAAAAGAAGAGAGTCGAAAAGAGAAGTGCTCCATTTGGCGGCAGTAAGATCATCAGGGTCCTTAAAGATGATTTGAATAGAGAAGGATAAAACGCCATATTTCTTACTTCACATCAACGTTGAAGATATAAAAAAACGCTCCACATATATTATATTTTACGATACGCTTTTGTATGTTTGCAATGATATTCTTCCAGCAGCCATGATATTATTCTTAGAGCTACTCATTATGGAAAACTTTTTACCGTAGATTTAATTTGGTGTCACATTTTCAAACATTGAACCTCTTTCACTATAAACACACTTTAATGATAGTATTTTTTATTAATATGAAATAAAATGCACAATTTGTGTGAAGAGAGATACGACATAAGGCCATAAGAAATAGATTATTTGTTTTGCGTCCTGGAAAAATTCAAATCATGCAAGGGTACAAGGAAAACAAACACAAACTCAAGAAAGAACACAAACTTGTTTGCTGAGAAATGAATACACTTCAAGGGCATAAGAAGGGATGACATGCCAATTTGTAGTGATTACAAACACATATCTATAAATGTTATACAATATATTTAAGCATATAGCTATTATTCAAGGGTAAAAAATAAGAGAATAAACAATGAATACCAAAGTAATCAATAAAACTGTCAAATTACATCAAATTATCCGCCATTTCATCTGATTCGGATTGGACATTATATGAACATTTCCTTGAGCTCTATATTATAGTAGTACCACAACTCACTTATAGCATGTTTATTATTCCCGTATAACGTACAACTTGACGTTTATTGCACATCTCTATACGTCCATAAGTGTGATTATTCTTCCATATTGTATTGTATTGTATTGTATTGACGACAATGTAAAAGAGTATCACACTTGTAGACAAATAGAACTGCGCAATTGATGATGGCGTAATCAAACACTTCATAAGTTATACGTCATACGGGAATAATAAACATGCTATAAGTGAGTTGTGAAATTCTTCTCGTGTCTCATTTATGTTCATTTAGATGCTTTCATAATAAACTATCTGTTAACATGTTTCTACAATAATAAATTAGCTTATTGCACTGACTACAATTATTGTTTCATTTTACATTTATCCAAATTATCTTTCCATATTATCAAATACTAGGAAGATAGGCCAGGTCTTTGACGGTCATATAATTGAAGTGTATTACCATATCACGGGGTAATACAAATTCTACTTGCAGTGGGAGACGTTCTTCAGCGACGCATAGATTAACCATGTTGTGTAAAGTACAAAAGAGGATTGGCTTCCAGGATCGAAACTCGATATTTTACAACAATGACATCGTCGAAATGACGTTTGTTCTGAAATTAAAACCGACTATAAATTCAAAATAAAACAGTTCAAAAGATTCGAACGTGATTCTAATGTGATGATTGAGGCCAACAGATAGGGAATGTTTGTCACTTGTTAAGTTATATGTAACAAACACTTGACTCCGAAGAAGTGGTCGAAAATGTAACATATAGGCAAAATGTTAGACGTATAATTATGCATTTTATGAAAATGACCGTCTCCGATCAACCATCAAACCCAAATAGCATACCCAATATGTAATATATCATATGAAAGCTTCTTCAATTCTGGACTTATTTAAACAGATATTAAGCTCAACAGTTTTAACAACTACATACTGTATCTTTACAGGTGCCCATTTTACCTGTAGCATAGGTATCTGAAAGCCACATTTCCGACTATGTGTCCTGCAAACAGCTATGGTAACCATACCTCGATACACTGTTGGCAATAGTAATGTGCAACTCCTAACATTCGATGCATGAGTGTTGATATAGCTTATTTGAAAAACAAAATTATTACTTGCTTTCTGCTCATTTCCTTGAATCCATGAGGAATAGTAATCACAAATCATCCAAATTGAGGGGACAATGACTATTGAAAATGTAAGTTTATTTTGTATGCATTCTTATTTAAACCAACATACAAAAGAATTATTGTTTTTTTGTATTGTATTAAAAATATATGCTATTTGCATGTTATAAGAATGAATGAAAAATATTCATAAAAATAAAGTTCACAAAGTTGTGTTCCCAAAGACCAGTTATACTAATATTTGGCACATAAGTCAAGAATTAAATATTAAGCTTTATTTATACATAGATTATGGGACTATGTGATCTAGGAATGTCGGTGGATGGAGGACGGTCATTGTGAATCAGCCTGAATAATGACAGGTGTTGCTGACAAATGATTTTTGAAACATTTAAAATGACTTGATCAATAAGCACATATCTTCTCGGAGGTCAATTAAAGACCTTTCAGATAATCCTTGTCACCTTTTGGTATATCAAATTATGTTCTTATACTATATTGGCTTTATTGATAACATTGTTTGTAGGTTGCAATTTGTCAAATCATGAATAGGCCAAATATACATGTATAATTGAACCTATGCTCACGTATTGCTAATTTGGGAAGATACAACCTATAACATCACCAATTTTTCAAATACATCATAGTTTCTTTAATATACCAAAGAGGTGGAAGGGTTTATTCGAAAGTCTATTGGGTCAAACCATTTTTGCATTTGCTCCTTATTCATACGACATTAGACATTTGATGAATAGAGATTATCCAATATGAAATTCAGGATATTGGGACTACCCCTGAGCTAATATGATATATCATTCTGCGCCCCGAAGGAAACCCTTTACAAACCTGCTTACATGTATCTCACACAGTCCAAGTAAGGGATGAATATCTACACTCGTGATGATTCAATGCAACGCTATCTTCTTGTCGCTTGGGCCGTTTGAAGAGGAACATTTTTCAAAGGATGTTAAATGCGACGAGGCAGACGCCTCGTCTGTTTCATCTCTGGCTTCGCTACAGGTATATTCATATATCATCATAAGATATGGCACTACGAGAGTTAATATTAATTCCAAACGTGATCTTTGTTCTTAATTTTACATTATGTGAAAAAGATGGCGTGTACGACAGAATATGTCATTTGCACCTCAACTCAAAAGAGATTTCGCAACGATCACTTATAGCATGCTTATTATTCCCGTGTAAATTATATTGTACATGTATGAAGAAGAGGAGGGAAGGCCCCAGAGCTTTAGCGATGACTGACATAATACGTCTCTTGCGTACCACCTTCGTTTGCGCAAATTGTCAACAGTAAATTTTCGAACATAGCGCGTCGTCATGATGTTTTAATCGATGTAAACATTTTCCTTACATATTTCTTTATCTTGATGTGAAAACCAAGTTATGATATTGGTTAATACGCCTGGAATCAACATAACATTATTCGAAGCGCTATTAGAAAATTTTGAATCCGCCATTTTTGTCTATCGATTTGGACCAATCAGATGTGTATGTCATCTCAATACAGGTTTACATTATAAGCGTATGTCATCTTTGAACTCTGGTGTTCATCCCCCTCTTTGTATGAAGCGTTTGATCACGTCATCATTTATTGCGCAGCTCTTTACGTCCACGAGTGTGTTATAAATCGTCGTCTAAACGTAAGAATATCACAGTCCGGACTCGCATTTCGATCCAAATAATTTAAGAAAACATGGTGCAATTTCTGGCTCAGATATTCTTATTTTCGACATACGACCAGTCACAAGTTCGCTGGCCGAGATGCACTGACACCTTTTTTTAGCCAATACTCAACCAATTTCCAATTTTTTGATCTGCATCATAGCAGGGGTATTTTCAAGGATTTTAATTTTGAAAAAAGATTTTTAGTCAGTATTCTAGGTCCAAGAATGTGTTTTGTCTCCCTTCTTTAAAATGTTCACCAAATTACCTCCAATTATCCCCAAATCTAGGAAAGGTATTTACCCAAGGGTTTTCGCTCTAAAGCGGTAGATCCTAAATACATCGAAAGTATTTTCACCCTTTTCTGGTTAGCAAAATATCATACAAATATATAATTCTATAGAAGTGAATACCTGTGCATCATCTTGTGAAAGTGTCATAGGTATTCACCGAAAATATAATTAAATATTTGTTTTATTATTCACTGTTATATTCCTAACTCACATTAATGGAAAAACAATATATTAATGTCTAATTAATCATTACAATGTTCTCCCGAGGATACATACAATTAAAATTACACTGGACTAAGTTGTAACTGGTGAATATCATTTGATATTCAACGAAAGTCACGTGGCTTTCGTTGAATATCGCTTTTTCACATGTACCAATCAGAAAGTGAGGACTATGACAGTAATATAATAAAATAACCCCCCCCCCCCTTGTAACGTTGACCTACTTTTTACCTCATTTGACTTTTTGAATTTCCGACATTTTGTTACCGATACAAACCCTTTTTGGATAACAGCGTTATCGAGTAGAGTACAAGTGATAAATTAGAAAGATCGGACACTGCCCATGCATGAAATATTGGCCCTTGGAAAAATACGCTAGGTCGACAACCATCACTACTGTACCATAATGTTATATGTACATGTAAATTTATTGGCACTCAAACTGCGATTAACTCACAACTGGTGAATTTTACTGTATAATTTGAAAAATAGAAAAAAATCCTCGAAATAAATGTCATTGAGGCTCTGCAGATGTATCATTATGTATAAAAGTCATCTAAATTAAATTAATGTAGTGTAGTTTTATTATACAGCAATATTTACATATAAATCATAAAGAAAGTAGTGAAGAACAAACCACAAGAGATGCCATCTAAATGAGTTCTTGCTCTCATTGTCGTATTTTCCGACATTCAACATTTAAGTAAAAACATAGTGACTCAATAATGCGTACTTTTCAGCATTCTTTGGCAAAATAAAGACCTACTTTTGATCTTCATAGTCTTTTTGATTTTTAAGAACTTGATCTTTCACGGGGCACAAAAATAACTCTAGATAACGGTCCCCATCGGAACTTACAATAAATTATTGAATGTTCACGCCAAGCTTTTACAAATGTCAATGAAAGATGGCGAAGGTTATTTAAATTAAATCACCCGATTCATTGATTTTTTATGAAGTGTCAACCATAAACAATATATTTTCAATCAACAGTTTTTCCCTTGTGAAAAGTATGTACGCGCAACTTACTATCTCTTAACTTAATAATAATTAGAATGTTGTTTTAGTTAATACTGTATTAGTTAAGTTTATTTTTTGTACTCGTATACCCTATAAAGGTTGAATTGAGAAATCAATAAATAAAAAAATAAAAATTATATGCGAATCTTTATCCGCTTTAGTATTTACACAAGAATAAACTTTGTATCGTACATGTACTTAATTCATTGTGTCCGTAACATGTTCCCATGATCGTTTTGTTCTTTGTTCTTCTAAACTACGCAAAGTGCCTCTTTGGGTGAACAAACACCTTTTGATTCCTCCTTATACGACACGAGCGACTGATTCTGTAATGGCCATTCCATTAAGATTGTTATGATTGTTCAGCACTATTGAATTACAGGCATTTGGTACGAAACTTTCGCTCGTCTTGTTTCCATCGGAGGATCCACCGTTATCTAGTTCTATTCCACTTTGACACCGTCCTTTGCTCATTGAAGAACTGGTTCTGCTATTGAGAGATTCCACCGAGCCATCTTCAAATCCTTTACTTGGTGGTCTGGAATAAACCTTTGAGCGTTCGTTGATTGACTCTTGATGATGAGCCGTCACTGCGCATACGCCTAGATTTCCCAAATGTACATAACTGGAATGACAAGGTCCTTTACTCGTATTCACTATTGTTTTTCTTGTATCACCAGAATTAGAGTACAAGGCGAATACTTTTGGTAAGTAAAGGCAAATTAAAGTGACTGTTGCATTAAATGTTAAAGCCAGTGAGAGCAACATAACTTGATAGTAAGCTTTTGATGTCGTAAAATAGGTTGGTATAAAAGCCAACCATATTAAAAGTGTTGTGTATACGCACAATGCGATGTATCTAGATTCATTGAAATTGTCTGGCAGTGTTCTTGTTTTGAAGGCATAAAATGAGCAAGCTGAGATGAGGACTAGGTTGTAACATAGGGAAGTGAGGAGGCCTTGCATCGGAAGTGTACATAACAGTTCCACAAATTTCTCCGTCACGACGCGCATGCGCAGTTGAGCTTCCGGTGGGACGAACCATGTAGCTATGCCAATAGAGACAGCCTGAAAATACATGACAAACGACAATATCATCAAACAGAATGTCCAATTTGTGACAAAAGATGTTTTATAATACTTTTGGCTAAAGGATAACTTCAATTGGTCGTACAGCAAACTAGTACTACGTCGGAGGCATGGGTAATTTCATGTAAAATTGCTGTTGCTTCGGAATTCATGCTGGGAACTTGATATTTTCACTTAGATACTAGTGTCTATTAACCTTTCTTATTTAGACACCCCTGGGGATTCGACTAAGATCCCATTTTCCAGAGAATACAGATATTGAATTACAAAAGTGATTCTTAATATCCATTATCAAAGTATTATAATAATCCACTCATTATAAAAAAACTATTAACACAAACACAATGTTTTATTTATGATCAGTCTTAATAGTTCTAAGACAACACCGTGAATTATATAACATTTCTTTATTTTAACACGTGGGACGATAGCATTACCATATTCAAAGGAAGAGTGAGAAAAAATCATTTTTGTTCGATCAAGACATCATAGTTTGTGATGGGGCAAACATTTTGACGTTTGGTAGTGGTCACACTTAAATAAATTGCCAAAGTATATTTTCAAAAGGAATGCGTTCACACGGGTGTCTTATAATTGCAATGTACATGTAACACTGGTGACCGTAAGTTGTTCTAGTGATCATAAGCAGATCATGCAATATTTTTTCCCGAAACCTCACAATGACCTTTATTTAGGATTCTCATTCATTTCATCGCCATGATCTTATCAAGACCTTACCTAACTAGGCCGACATCTGGTTCAAACAAAGTGTCTAACTATCTATCACGTATATCTTATCAACCTTATCAGAAATATTTACTATCTTAACATTGTCTAACCAAGCCCATCCCTGACAAACATTTAACCATCTCCATTTCGCTCATTTCGACACCAGACTCCAAAGATGAAGTTGATGCTAGTGCTCGCGCTAGCCGTGACGGCTGTTTGCGCAAGCAAAGTTAGATATGACGGGTAGAGTTTTTACTTTTAAATTAAGAACAGTTAATATTAATAATTATGTAGAATGAAACGGTAATGTTTGAGGTATTACATGTGTTAACATGACATTAGCATGTAATGTTATTGCCCTTCGCCTCCGTACGTTTTTATAGGTTGAGAGCAGATTTCTATAGTTCTATCAACTTTTTATTAATGTTTTCACATGCTCTATCGTTTTACATGATTTATCGTTTTTCTTAACAAACTATTCTCATCTTGGAGATAACTGGATTTTAAGTAACGTCGAATGCTTTATGCTATATTAAAATAAGCCAATGTCTTCCCCTAATGATCGGTTGGTGATCTAGTCTATTGTAACAGCATATTGTGTTATAACGTATACTTAATAGTTTTTATGGTTATAGTTCATTTCATAATATGACATATTATGGACATTACTAAAAATAATTGCACATGACAGATTTGGTAAAGAGGGCGTATCAGTGCCTATATCAAATGTTATGCAGATCATCAAAGTATACAATTTACAATTTACAACAATACCATAAAATAGTAGGTTAATCGGGTAGCCGACAGGCGTTAGTTGCATTCTTGAATACAAGCTTAGTGATATCAATTTAAAAATACTTACCCTGTTCAAAAAGTTTGACATAAAACGTTTTTGCAAATTATATTACAGGTATCAACTTGTGCATGTTACCCCAAAAAGCGATGAACACGTAAAGATTCTTGCGCAGATGCAAGGTGATTCTACCAAAAATGGTGTAAGTGATATTATGTAAAAATTGATGACAATTAATTGTATTTTATATTTTACTTGCATGGAATCGTGTGATTAATAGTCGATAAGCATCAAAGGTAAAATATTATGGATTAACATGTAAAATGATTATACCACACTAGATCTTGGGTATTCAATTTTTTTAGATATTTGATAACTCACACAATGCATTTATTTATCTTTATTTTTTTCTTATTTCCTTCAAATCAAAATACAAATTATTTAAAGTGGACACCTGATATAGGTGTATTTACTGGCTAATTAAACATAAATTGAATATAATAATAGCGCAAATAAATAAATAAGTATAAATAAGAGCACATTAATAGATGTGGAGAGGTGCGGGCATCAGATACATCAGTTTTTCCCAGAAAATGAGATTATAATTATAAAAGAAACATTTGCATTTTTCAATAAAGATTGCTTCTAATATAAATAGCGATCTAATATACTTTTCAGCTTATGTTCTGGACTGAGCCAGTGAGTGTGGAGCGCATGGTTGACGTAATGGTGCCTCCCCACGCCTTCATCTGGATGGCTAGAACTCTCAGAGACAACGAGATGCCATACACACTTGCAGATACTGATGTTCAAAAGTAGGTCTTGGTCACCTTTAACTACACGGCAAAAGAATTTGAAACAAAAATATACACGAATGTCATATTTAGAGATCACGGCTTTTCAAGAGACTTTTTAAATACTTCAGTATTTGCAAGAAAGATGCAGCTCTGTCATACTTAAAATGAAAGAACGGTTGATAATATCATTATAAAGGTTAGGGTCACTTTGTGCTTTATTGATCGTAATAAGTTATGATCGACGGTGTACCAGAGGGACATATCTTTTCAGTCATAATCCTTTTAAGATTTATTTACTCTCGACGTTGAACATTACAACTGTTTGTGAAATCCATCATTCGTATTTGACAAAACGTTTGGGCAAGACTTCAATGGCGAATTCAACACCATCGGGAAGTCAACGTGCTCCTTTAAGTACGAATCTAAGAGTCCATGTTATTTTCCATATTTTAGAATGATTGATGAGGAAGATGCAGAGAATAACGTTGGTCTTCGTCGCATGCGAACTAGAGTCGGAAATGACGCAACACAGTATTCCACTATCCTTGGAGCCTATCAAAGGCATTCAACCGTAAGAACAAAAGTCCAGATTGAATTCTGATATCCCTAAATGAGAACTAAAAGTAGGGAAAATAGAGTTTTCATTTAGAGGGGACGAAAAAGGTCTCCTTTGTGAATGTAATTATAAACTATTTACAAATCTCGTTCTCCAGAGATGTTTCCGAAACCATTTTCAAAGTATTCTATGAATTAACAGTAGGATTAGTAATCATTTAGTTCCTATTTGATTTGATAGCATGATTTGATATGGGTTTATATGAAAGGACTAAGTAACTGTAACCGAACGATTGTTTATGTAAGAAAACTACATGCATGTGCATGGGGCAATTTATGCGTACAGGATTTCGTTTCGATTTTATATGCATTGCTTATAGTCTACATTGTCTCAGAAGTCAAACTGATCTAATAAATACATGTATTCGATTTCAGATTAACGGTTGGTTGAACAGCATTGCTTCCTCATACAGTAACATTGCCTCTGTATTTAGCATTGGAAAAACATACGAGGGCCGAGACATGCGAGTCATCAAGGTGAGCATATTAAGTATATGCAGTATTGTAGAAACTGTCTAATCTGATTGAACATCACTTGGACCAGTCAATTTGTTTGGATTAGCCTGTGATCGCATTTCACGTTTTAAGATGACCTTGGGACCGAGAATTGGAAAAGCGTTCACACTGAGTATTCCGACAAGAGGGGTGTTCGAATATACAGGTTTCACTGTATACAAAACAATACCCGGAATCATAAAATTACGTTATTACAATTAAACGTCATTTGTGTGGGTTAATGGCTCTCTAAATTAAATCAAATTAAATGTTTAACTCGAACTAGTTGCTCTATTAGGAATTCTTAATTTTTGCCATTCGATAAGTTGCTAATGGATTGCTTCTGTTGACGAATTTGCGGTGGAATTATTTTCTCTTGAAAGCTCTTATATCAACTTTATGTCTTTGTACATAGAGGCGCATGGCATAAGGCATGTCTTTTTCTGATGTATTGTTTGAGAACTTTTTTATTCATATTTTATTGCTCATGTATATTTGTTTTTCAGATCGGCAAAGCTGGGGCCAAGAACAAAGCAATTTGGATCGACGCTGGTATCCACGCAAGAGAATGGATCGCTCCCTCAACCTCTCTATACATTATCAACCAGGTATATTCTATATTAACATATTGCAACCATAAGGTAGCACTCAATAGTGAATGGTTCGATCTCTTCATTACCACTTGCATCTGTAGTAAGGTGTTTCACTTTCCAATTTTTCGAAACAAGAATGTTTCCTATTTGGTCCCTTAGTAAGAAAAGCAAAAACAATTCAGCCAAATCCCTCGTAGGGAGAGATCTAAACGTCAGCGGATCTGACTGAATTTTTGTGCTTGCTTTCCTTAACCAGGAGACTAACTGGGCAAAACTCCATCTTGATCAAGAGAAAAAGTGGAAAGGTGCAACAATAGACTGTGTAATAATCAGCATTTATTCGCTATCTCTTTACACACAGTTATTTCGACTCTTACTTAGTGTGTTTATTGATGTTATTTTAAGCATTTTTTCGTAAGGTGCAAATCAATGATTTCACATAGAATCGTACATTTGTATCCATTTACAAAAATACTTTAGCGTGATAATGAGCAATCAAGTAAAAGCTACCAAAAGGGTTTAATGTCATTACGTTTAATGACAGAAAGAGTATTACTGTATTACTAACTTTCAAACACTTGTTTACAAGGGCACCATTATATTAGTACCTGCAAATTATAAATCCAACCATAAATTCCTTTGTACACCAACAATGAATCGTTATTTGATAGGTATAGATAACACAGGTTCGTATGTAAGCCATGTTCTTCATGTTTCCTCAAGCTGAGCTTAAACATCGTCTCGTTCTACACTTTTTTATTTTTTTATTTACAGTTGTTGACTGGGTACAACCGTGATGCCACTATCACCAGACTTGTAGACACATTCGACTGGTATATCCTTCCGGTAGCCAATCCCGACGGTTATGAATATTCCCACACAAGCGTAAGTATATGAACGTTTCCAGCTGGGAACCAAAGGATCAAGAAACAAATAAAAAAAATGAAAAAGCATTGAATTTGCCACACGATTAATTATTATACGTAATTTTGGAAATCCTGTATTTACAAAATGCAGCAGGTCGGGTTTGACTAGCTTGGTGTGCACTTTTCAACAGTTTGCCTTAATTTAAAGGAACTTATCTTCACTCTGAATCAGAATTAGCTCATTGATCCCACTGGCGGATCTGGGGGGGGGCTTGGGGCCCGGGGCCCCCTTGGATGGGCCTAGAAAAAAAAGAAAACAAATTGGGCCCAAAAAAATGTTGGGCAAAAAAGGCCTGATGGCCTCATTGCTGGAAGCCTTATTTTTAATTTCAGGCCAAATTTTGAAAAAATTGGCCTCAAAATTTCAAAATTTGGGCCCACTTTTCGGTTTTTTGGGACCTACAATTTTTTCCGCTTAAGCGCCGAATTTTTCTCTCTGACCTGAAATTTGCCCCCCCCCCCTCTGTTGGTTCCCACATCCGCCCCTGGTTCCTGATACTTACCCTATGAAGCCTGTACTACAAAGGCTATTGCTATTGCGCTAATTGCGTTTATTATTTCAAATAATAATAAGTGTCCATAGACTCAGATAAGAGGTTATTGTACCTCTCAGATACTTCTAATTCCTTGGTTTAACAGGGTGAACCCTGGACTCATTGAGTGTTAGCCTCGCAAGAGGTTGTGATTACTCTAACATGATTGCACTTTTATTTATCGCAGTCACTGATTATTACAAAATAACGTCAACGTCTTTAGTTCTGGATAAAAAGATGTTAATCATTGTGTATTTTTGGAAATATTCTGTCACTATAGAAGAATCTCAAATAAATATTTCAAGCAATTTCCATCGCACTTGAGATTGTAAAAGTGGTTTATCACAATGTACCGAATGGAAAAGAGTGCCTTCATTTGAACACAACTTATTTTGGGATATGATTTAGAACTCGATGATATAACATTAAGAAGATCACATACCTCTTGAGAAGGTAACAATTTTCGAATAAACAACATTGAGATTTCCACATTTAATTCCTTAAATGGACCCCCAGTTGAAAAAAGTTAAAGTTAAATTTCTTTGTACTTGTGCAACTTCATACCTACGTCAGATTGACACACTCACCTTTCAAATGGAATATTAGAACTTTGAAATATGTTTCATTTATTGTTCAATAAGGAATAGACTTTGAAGCTCTCGTTTGCGCAGCTATAAAGGGACTGATTACTTGGAAAGGTCATGGCTATTTTGTTTCGGATTCAAATATCTAATGAATTAAAAGTGTATTTCTGTTCTTTGAGTAATGACAATACCGTTGCTGTATGTCTGATGTAAGATATTTTTAACGAAGACAAATCAAACATTTTCAGAGTCAGACTAACAAATTTAAAAGGCAGGGAAACAACGTATAATTAATCAAAACGTTGATACCCATAATCATCTGTAAAAATAAAATTTCCTGGAATATATATATCAATGATTCCAAGAAATCATTTAAGAATATTATCCAGGAAGTAATAACTAAGATGCTTTTTTAGAGTTCTACCTGATCACTTTAAACTTTTCCGCGTTTGTCACTCTGACCCTTTGTCTAACTTTTGATGCCAAGGTTATCTCTAAAAACTTGCTCTAACTTTCCAGAACCGTATGTGGAGAAAGACAAGATCACCAACCAAATACAGCTGGTGCACTGGAGCCGACCCCAACCGAAACTTCGATGCCGCATGGAATTGTAAGTCAGGATCAAAGGAAGTCGTATCAAAAGTATCCAAAGAAGATAAAACGACATCTAACTCACTTGTTCTAATCTAAACATATTCATGATGTTCAGGAATTCGTTTATAGCTTTTCAATTTAACATTCGGTTTGATCATTGCATCACTAGCGATATTTTCAATGACGGGAATACGTTACCAATTGAGCCAAAAATGTTTTAGTAGGGGTTTTGTAATCATTTAGCGATTGGTTTAGTCTTATTTCTCCGCACCTGTTTTCTCCTTTTAAATAATACCTAAATCACCTGTGCATATTTTTAACTTTATTGCTGTCCTTTAAAAGTATTTACTGAAAGCAACCCTAATCTTTAACAATTATTTCTACGCTTGTTGATTAGAGAGATACTTTATTACAATTCCCGGATAAACGGGGATATAGCACCCGAAAGTAAAGCATCATATGAGAATCATGTTAAAGACGTGGACATTAGTGGAAATCATGCGTACATTTTGCAAATGAAATGGTCACGTGACGTGGAATAAACACATATATTTGTTATAAAATTCTCATAAATCCTTCACATCGAGCATAATATGAAAATTACTCGAGCTGTACACGATTAGGGTTGTAAATTAAGCACGGGAGGATTATCATAAAAAAACATTATGACGATTTTTACGAGGTGTTTATTTTAACACAATCTATAGCCGTCGGAAATGGCCCCAACACGGTTATTTTAATCAAGCTATAAACACTAGATTCTCCCCTGAATTTCAGAGAAAATTATGAAGTTATCTTTTAAAAAGGTACACTCCCCTCCATAAGTTTGCAACCTTTTTTCTCCATTGAACTACGTGTTAAAGCCTCTTTACGTTTGAAATTTTATTTACTTAACCGGCGATGAAATAACTTATGATTTTGATGGAAACGTAACTTGACTTTATTTCCAATACCTCCAAATTTTCTCAATTTTTTTCCTCAATTACAATAGGTCGAAAATTGATGATACATTTGATGAATTTTTGAAAAGCGTCATTCCCATGTAATCCAATGGGAAATGGAGGGTTCGGGGCAAATCAGAAATCAATATATCTTTTCAGTAAAAGATTCAGCAAAAAATATTTTTATATAGAAAATTGAATTGTCTAACTTTTTTGAACACTAAGTGTTTAGTTTATTTGATGAATATTAAAGTTACAGCGCTTCAAAGTCATTTCTGAAAAGAATTTTTCGCCTCCTGTGTTATTTCAATGGGAGAGGTTTTTTGAAAAACAATTTTGACTTTAAAGCCCTATAACTTTAATGAACCTGAAGAAACATATCAATTTTTGTTAAATAAAGTTAGCAAATTCAATTACCTGCCTAACTCGTATTTCTGCAAGGACTCGGATGGATGGATATTCTGTCATATGACTTGCGGCAAACCTACCATTTCCCATTGGTTAACATGTGAATGTCGATTTTCAAAGATTTATCAAATTAATCATCAATTTTCGACCTACTGTAATTGAGGAAAAAAATTGAGAAAATTTGGAGGTATTGGAATTAAAGCCAAATTACGTTTCCATCAATAGTATAAGTATTTTCATCGCAGGTTAAGTAAATAAAAATTCAAATGTAACGAGGCTTTAACACGTAGTCCAATGGGGGAAAAAGGTTGCCAAACTTATGGAGGGGAGTGTAAATAAACGTCCGTGACTATCATGTCTTCACGCTCATTTAATTACAGCTATTGGAACAAGCCCAAACCCTTGTTCCGATACCTATGCTGGGGACTCTCCCTTCTCCGAGGCTAACACAAGGAATATGAGAGATGCCATCAATTCCCTAAAGGATAGAATGGCCATGTATTTGTCCTTCCACAGCTACTCCCAGATGTGGCTGACCCCCTATGCCTACACAAGCAGAAGACCCGTTGATTACGCTGAAATGGTACGTACTTGTACTGTTCTTAACCATATTGAATCGTCAAATTGAAGAAAGGTGTTTGGCTAATTGCAATTGATGGCACTGTAGACAATACAAGGGTAGGATAAAATGTACCGAACAAGATAATGGCATTTTGATTAAGTTCTAAATATTAACGTAATTTAAGGTTATTCAAGGCACATTATTAAATGAGCCAAGATCATTGGAAAAGTAAAGCAAGCACCTTCGAGAGGATTTAGAGCGAAAAAAGTCATCGTGACAAAATATCATCATTCAGCGAAACTTAATCCAAAACAATCACTTTGAACACTAATTACTTTCATCGCAAAATATCCAACTATCGTATTTTATTTCTTGGTTCCATTGTACTTCATGATATTCAAACGCGCGTAATGAACCCAACGCGCGTAATGAACCCATCATAATATGTAGTATCTATACCGTTCTTTTAATGCTGCTGTTCCAAGAGAAATTGGATTACTATATTTAGGTTGTTTACGTCAAACTTACATATTACGTTTTCTATGATTTGTCTGTATTTAACCCATGCATTAGAATGAAGTCAAATACAAGAAACAATCATGGCAATTTAGAACGAAGTGCTGTCTATTCCTTTTTGATTTTATATCATATTTGTTAATGTGGAATAGCCTGTAGCCTATAAATAGAAATACCGTAATCACCATATTTAGCGCCCACCCACTAATAAGCGCCCATCCCCGCTTCACAAATTCCAAGTTTATTGAACAAAATGACAGTTGCCATTCAAGGAATATAAGTGTGGGATTTCATCAGGCCTAGAAAAAGACCTAACCTAAATGTTGACATTAAAGACTCACCCCCGCTATAAAAGGCCTGAATCAGTTGAAAAAACATGGCTGAATTCAAAATTTAGACAAAATCTGAGCTCACTGACATTTTCCTCATTTTCTCTAGTTATAGAAACCCTATCACTCTATAAATTGTCACAGTTATCTATGAATATAGGAGGCATTGAAACATGTTAAATCCAGTCCAAGATATTATTTACTTTTGTAATTATTACTGTTTAATTTCTGATATTGGAACAACTGAGAAGGAGGAGCCTATTTTGAAATGAGCCAATCACAACAGGCGATCCGTGCATATTTAGAGGTCAACAAAAGCACATGGCCTAAAATATCTGCAGTAAATGAAGTATTATTGATATTAACTTACCCTGATCCTGGCTGAGGCATTTCAAGTGATGTGATCTTTATATATCCAACAGTGATAGTTAATCCAATTACATGCACATAGTCATGTTGTATTTATATGTTATTAATCTTGTAAATAATCTATGGAATGTGGTAAAGTATAAGTATATTGTATAATTAAAATATAGAATCCATCCATTTGTTCCAAATATTGTTTTTGTAATTAGTTGTGTAGTCCTTCAAAACTTTTCTTTGTTTGAAGGGATTCAGTGGATCATCAATTTCAGTAATGCTGGAATAATCACGGTCTATATTTTCATTCCAGTGGACGACAGCTAGATTAGTTCTTATTTCGAATTGTTGCTTTTTAAAGACAACACGCTTATCATGGAAAATATTCAACGTATTGTTGAAGCTCTCAACATAAAATGTGTCCATAGCTTCTGTATAATGTTCAGCGTGTCTATAAATTTCTGTTTTTTTAATTGATGATAATAATAATTGTTCTGCAATGGGTGAGGTGATTCTAATTTTCTCTAATCTGTAGTTGATATTTGTTTTACAGCTTGATATGGCATCGCAATTTAAATGGTTGTCCTTATAATGGTTTGGAATTTGCTCTAGTTTCATCCTGATTGTATTCGGATTCTTATCACAGTTTCGAATAACTTGCTGTGCTCTTTTTCGTGCCCCATCGGGTTTGTCTATGAGTTCCGAGTGCCACGTCTCGCCATCTTTATATTTGGGCCCCTTACAAACTTTGTTTATTTCACGACTGAATGACTTTGCCGCATGCCATGTGTCATTCTGGTTTAAAGTTTCCTTGCCACCAGGTCCTCTGTGCTCACGGATTATTTTATTGATTGTACCGTTGTTGTCATGGGCATGAATATTTATTTTAACTTGTTCAGCATCAAAAAATTCATACATCCGTTTAGTACCCAATGCCTCATGCTTTTGAGATGACATTTCATCTTCCTTTGAAACATGTTCAGAACGTATAACTCTGTGTTTGTTGTGGCCCAAACATATCACATCACAATCAAACGCATTTCTTCTACCACCATGTCGAGCATCCGTCATGATATTGATACCATTTGCCTCGACATCAGGATACGTCCCCTTTTCTTCATCTAAGGCAGCTTTGCAAGATTCTTTCATCGCTTCACTGATATGAGAAGATAATTCATTTGTATAAGTCTTCTCTTTTCTCCAACCTAGATGGCCCATACCGACTGCTTTAACAACATTCTCATATTGTGAAGGCAGTAGCCCACTTGTCAACTGTCCAAAGAAAAAACGAAGATTGACGTAAGCCTCGCTATTTGGTAAGTGGGGTGAGGAAGGCCATCTTACATAATGTTCGCTGACCTGGCATTTAAATGCAATTGTTGCTGCATGTCCATGTAATACTACTTCTTGCAACTGAAGTTCCGCTTGACATATTCTGCTATGATGTTCAACTAAACTTACAAGTTTTTTGACAGTTTTTTCAGTTGTAAAAAATATTGGTTGCTCAGTTTCATGTCTCTCTAGTGGTGTGTACCAAGACTCTGGCTCAAGATTGCCTTCAGATGATGCTGAAGTATGTGTGTTGCTACTTGCAGATGGCATATTGTGTGTTAGCCAATAGTCTAATGCTATTTCTATGGCATCTACATTGCCATTCAGGTGTAAAAACTTCTTTATTTTACTCGTTTTTCCAAGCAAAGTTTCCTTCTTCTCTTGACCTCCTGCACATTCAATTGAGAATCTTGAGGAACGCCCATGCTTTTCTCTATATTCCTTCTTTTTCTTAGCTTTACTTGCCATCATACAGTTTAGGATTGCTACAATGTGTGTCTTGCCTAGTAACTGTTAGTAAGATATGTGAAAAGGCACAAATGTAACAGTTGAAAACACATGGCAATTTAGGCAAAGGGTGTACCTTAGGGATGTGACAGTGTGGGAAATATATAACCATAATTATATTTATTTTAGTTATTAAGCTAGGGAGTGCAAAAATGATAAGCCATATTTTATTGTTGCATTATAACCACATTTCTTTTTTGTTCTTACTCAAATTCTAGCCATAATTTAATGATGAAAGTTCAGAAAAATAAAAAATCCAGGTAACTGTTTGCAACTTATGCCATGAGGCACATAAGTGGTACAGCCCCAATTAAAAATCTCAGAGGTCTAGGATTTGCCTGCTTTCACCACTTAGCTATAAAATTGAAAAATTGGGAAATTCAAGAGATTTTCTACATGCCTCATTGACAAAGTCAGGGAGCCATGTTTATTAATTATCAATCATGGTCACATCAATAGAAACCTAGATTTGGACCTTACAAGAGTTCATGTGGATGTACCATATCATGAACACAGGGGTGAACAAATTACACTCTTCCACATATGAAGATTATATGTTAGATTTCTGGTGACATTCAACATTTAATGTACCTTCCCGAGTGAGTATATCTGAGATTCCAGATGATGAATCAACCAGAGAGTATTTATTATTAAAACCTCCAAGAATTGGAGAAAGCCTTGGTTTTCCCATAGTAATATACATTTATCAAGCTGCATTTCACTGGTCTTTCAGATTCTAAAAACTAAATCTATGATCCAAGAAACAGTGTCATTTTATGTTTGAAGTTCAAGCAGTGAAATGGAAAGCAGAACTTACAGCTTGAAGATAAATGTAACTGAGGAACAGAGGTTAGTGATAGAATCCCTATATGATCACTATGACTGGAACTTTGACCCCATTGAGGACAGCTACAAGAACAGTAGGTTGAATAATACAGAAAAAACAGTAAATGTGAATAGAAGAAAAGCAGCAAAGAGGAAAACATCAGCTAGTATCTCTTCAGAAACAGTAGCAATTTGTTCTTTAGAAACAGTAGCCACTGATTCTTCAACAGAAGACGAAAGTCAAGCAAGTCAGTCAATCAGCATTTTGACTGGTATGATACCACAACATGTATCTACAGAGCCTCCGCAGCCTCCTAACAATGATTCCCCTAGTTCTAATGAAGAGTCACATGATTGTCCGCATTGTTTCTGGAACCCATGTGTTGTCAATGAAGCCAAGTATGAGCCATTTTGGAGGACAACAAATGCAACTCCATCATTGTCAAACATTATAACAAGGAGAAAACTGTACAAGGAATTTTGGAGAATGATAAACAATCTAGGACTATGGAGACATCCTAACTATTTAACCAAAAAGGCAGCTTCCAAAAGTAGTGACAGAAGTATAATATACCATAAAAGGGAGATAATGCCCACATGTGTTGTCACACAAGTGAGAGAATGGTTCCCGAATCCACCTGGCATTGAATATAAAGGACATGTTTACCAGTGAATGGATATAAGTTCAGCTAGACTTACACAATGAAATATTCTTATTCGGATTAATTAAATATAATAGTATACACATTAACTATAGTAACTACTATTTGGATTATATGCTCTTATAATATTGTTTAGTGGATTATTAAATGAGAAACCAATGCATATATATGTGAGTACAAAATTTTACTGCTATGTTATTGTTTACTATTTTGGTGGCCATTTTTAAAAATCTTGTTTTGAAGGCTGTGATTGGCTCAATCGGTGTGAATTTCTATTGGTTAATGAAAACTACTTTTTGATTGGATAACAGGACCCAGGGTCTTGGTTCTGTGTCTTTAAGTCATCAGTTTGATAGCAGATCTGGTAGTTTATGGCTCATTTTCCCAGCAATAGCGGGTTTCAATATTTATTATTAGGCCATAGTTGCCGCTACATACACTCTCTCCCTCTAACAACATTTGAATGATATGATATGAATATTTAACTAATCCATTGCCGTAAATTGATACTGATCCATTGTATGGTAAATTGATAGAGAGATCGCCTTGCTATCGTCAAAGAGATATACATAAATAACATTGTTATATCTAGGAGCTTAGTCTGGCATGTGTCACTATTATATCTTTGAATAAATATCTCTCACTGGAAAGGTAGGCTATATCAATGCAGATTGTACATTCATATTAACACCTTTAGTTGTTTTTTTTTCAAAACAAAACTTAACTAGAGGTGAATTGTTGTTTGCTTAACTTGCATCGAAAGCTTATATCAAATTATTATTTAGGTTGCTTTATCAAAGAACGATTTGCATTTTTCCAGGAACGTGTCGCTAACATCGGAGCTACTGCATTACAGAAAGTGTACGGTACCAGTTACATCGTTGGCTCCCCACCACAGATCTTATGTACGTAACATATTCAGATATTAATTGGCTCAGTTCTGTAACCTACCGAGCTACGTGCAGTATTGTTTTGATAGTTTTTCATGGGTTCCATCTGCTTTTGATAGATTTGTTTATCGAATTTTCACAGTTCAATGATAGGTAACACATTGATGAATTGTACTGTAAAAAGTAAGTCAAATTGGTTTGAATGTTACTACAAGTATGATGTCCAAAGTTGTGTTCTCATTTAACTGTTTTCATGACTATAGATGCCGCTGCTGGAGGTTCATACGATTGGGCCAAGATGTATGCTGGTGTCAAATACTCATACACTCTTGAACTCAGACCCGGAAGAGGTGCCTCAAATGGCTTCATTCTTAGCCCAAGCCAAATTACACCCAATGGACGTGAGGTCTGGGCATCCGTTATTGCTGTTACCGATGCTTTGAAACTTGACTCAACTTCCGGTTCTGGATCAGGTGGCACCTGGGGCGAATGGTGGGGAAAGAAGTAAAACTTCCCAAGCATCATCAATGTAGAAATTTGAAAAATCATTAAATTTTATAAGATCATTGAAAATAGTTGTATTGTTGCCTTGCCTTGCCTTGTCATTCACGAGGATTAAGGATTTATATATCAAAGAAAAGTACATATAGTTTACTGGTGCTTTATTATAAGTATCCGATTTATTATGTTCTTGCTTTCCTCCTCCTTTAAAATAAGATAAAAAAATAAATAAATAGAGAGATCACCGTTGAATCATTTTATGTTCTTAATCAAACGTTTAATGCGTGATTACCTTTCATATCAACATTAGTTGTGTAGTAATTTAAGTTATACTAGGACAGAAAGTTCATGTTTTCGATTAGTTCATATGTTTACATTAAAAGTAAACCGCTTGATATTAAGAAAATCCTTGAAAAAAGATATATAAAATATTGGGAAAAAACTGTCAATGATAATAAAGGGAAATTAGAATTTTTGAATAATATCAAACAACGATGGGGAAAAGAACCAGATTTGAATTTAATAAAGATCGCCGAACATAGGAAATCTATGACGCGATTAAGAATAAGTGCACACAATTTAGAAATAGAGCGAGGAAGGTATACAAGACCAATAGTTCCGAGAGATCAAAGAAAATGCAAATTATGTAAAATCACCACTGGTACGGAAATTCATTTTATTTTTGAGTGCCAAAAATTGGAAAAAATGAGATATGAATACTTTGATACGTTTAACTCGATTTGCCCAAATCTAACTGTATTGACTACCGAAGAAAAGGCTAATTATATGTTTAATGCTGAGGGTAACATGTGTATCACCTTTGCAAAATACCTTTATGAAATAATTGAAAAGAGATCAACAACTATATTATCAATATAAATATATACATGTAGGTGTAGGCTAATAGTAGTTGTTGGTATATATCTAATGATCAGTCAATCACATTATATTGTCATTATATGCCATGTAAAATTTGCATTGTATGTTATTGTAATTGTATGTATAGTTTTAGTTTTATTTTATCATGTTTATTTGCTGTACACTCACCCGAAAGGGATTTTTAGTACAATAAAGCATTGAATATATGCGGAACATTTAGTTAATTCAGATCATGAGCATGAAACGATTTTCAACTAATTTATGCATACGTATGTGACAATAAACACGAAATAACTAAATCAAATAAAATCATTTAAAGATGGTCAATTTGAGGCAAGTAAAAAATATATTTTACCTTAAGAATGTCATTTAAGGTCGAATCTCAAATCTAAAGTATTTATTAAGTTGTTGAAAAGCTGTAAGAATTTGTTACCAACCGCCAACCGCTGACCGCCGTCACAAAAAACGGAGACCATAACAATATGTCAACACTTTTTGGTGTTGACATAATTATAACTAAATGTAGGGTTGAGTCTATGTATGGCTTTGGCACATCGCAACGCTAAATAAGTGTACAATGCAATAATGTGAATGATAGAAAAGTGAGTTGTGGAATCGAGTGAACGTACGCATCATTATAGCATGATGTTTAATTCATCCGATATACTTTTGCATATACAGGGTGGTCCTAAAAAGTGAACAGAAAACACAAATCACGCTTTCATTGACCATTTTTAATTTTAAGGCGCATGTTACCTACACAAACGTTTAGAGGGGGCAAAGTTACCCCCTGTGAACAAACATTTGAGAGGCCCTTCATTTAAATATCTTATAAAAATCAAAAGAAAATCTAATATTTAGTCTTTTGAGTCACATTTCAATTAGAATTGGTCCATGATTAATGAAGATATTGACATTTTAAGACCATATAGGGCTGTGTTGCGTTTTCACTGGAGGATGTTTTCGTCTTTGGAAACTTAAAACATTTCTTTGGATCACAATAGCTTTGCAATCAACGGAGGTAGGATGCTGATTTTTACATCATAATGTGCGGGATTCAAAACCAAACAAAATCAGAAATCATTAGGTTTTTCAAACTGCGGCTAAAAAATTTAACGGGAAGATTGTTGAAGGATTGAAGAATCGCAGATGTTGAAGTTCACATTACATCACATTATCCATTTTCAGTGATGTTTGGTTAGGGCTTATAATTTCTGCAAATTTCAAGACTAAGAAAAATATATGCTACCAACATACTTTTTAGACCTTCCTCTTAAACATTTAAAAATATGATAGGATTCCTGCAGGTCATAAGGGAAATATAGCCCGTTGCAAGGGTTCACTTTTTGGACCACCCTGTAATAGATGTTTGAAGAAGAATCAAAAGGTAATAGGCATATATCAGATAACCACGTTCCTTTAGAAATCGTATAAGTCTAGTCTAATTAAAAGAAACACAAATCATAAGACGAGTTGTAGGTAACTTTGAAAAATAATACGCTAACAGTGCTAGGTTCATGTCGATGTAACTGCTTATTTCGTTTCGTATCCCTGTATACTGGCCTTTAAAGTACAATCTATCATCTTTGAAAAAACGAAGCGAATCAAAATTGCAGTACCAATTTTGATTTGATGAGTAACTCTCGTTAGGTACCAACTTAAGATAACAAGTTTGATGTATCGGCGGTTCTTATCGCGTCTAAAATAAAGTGAAAGTGACAAATTCGAAGTGCGATGTTTCTGTAATATCTAATCAGAAAAAGAAGACGATATTTCTATAACCATGAATTAAGCATTTAATCCATGGACTAAGTGCAATGTGTATTCCTTGAAGGCGTTGTTTTCCAAAATGTGCACGAGATGATCTGCATCGAGTGTTAATTTTAGGAGAAAAACGCCTGAAAGGAATGGTCATTAGACAATGCATTGAGTCATGGGCTTAAATTCTTTTCACACATTACAAAATATTTTCTACGAAATGATTTAAAAGATATGAAATCACTAAAAGAACATATTTTCAATAAAATCATTTTGCAGTCACTGGAAAATGTCAAAGCATCTCAAGCATACAAAATCTTTACTTTATCTAACAGACAATTTTCAGAAAGGGGTGTGACTGTGAGACAGTGTTTGACAGTGTTTCGATGTTTAACGAATCATATCCTACTTTGCTGCGTTTTGCAAAACTCATTATTTCTTGTCGCATGTGTGCTTACCTACTATGTAATCATACAATTTATGTAAATTATAACGCAAATCTTTAAACGTTCATGGATACATTTAAAAGAACAGAAGAGATAAACTTACATTTCCTAGTTCAAAAATAACATTATATTACAATACCAATAGATAGATAAATGGAGGTCATTAATGCTCTAGCTAAAGTATAATTTCATGAGATAATTGAGTGAAAATCATTTTACAAAGAAAGTGGTCACTAGACATTGAGTTACACTATAAAATTGCATAAAACGTTCAAGTGTTCTAATATTTTCTATTGATATGTGAGAAATATTAAGTTAATACCGCAAGGAAGAATAGCACTGACTTAGTAAGCAAAAATATACACATTCTCGTATGCGAAAGACATGACATTTTTCAAAAAGCGCTTCGTCTCCTAATAATTGGCAGCTGTCGGAAATGGCCATTACCTGCAAATAACAGACAAGTTCGTTTTAATTTGCCCATACATAAGGCTATGTCTGCACTACTAATAAGGATTTCCTAATATTTCCTTTTTAATACATTATAATCTATAAGCTATGAGAGACGCCATCATTTTCTGAAATGATATACTCTTGGCTATTCACAAGTTTGTGTTAAAATGATTATAAGACGCCAAAACGTCAAGGTCAAAACTATATAAACTATAGCTATATCCAATGATTTCCATTTCGTTTTACCAGTGCGCATACATTCCCTCACGAACATTATAAGAATACGTTAAATGATGATTAGACTTCCTTAGTGACCTTATTTTGTATATCATCTAGACTATCGTAACTCTTCTGGTTAAGTAATTGCATTTCTTTGTTGAGCTTGTTTGCGTCAAACACGCACATTTTGCCTCTATTTGTTAAACTACTGCCGGTATTTATTGACATCTTAATTTAGCATCTGCACAAATTATAGTCTATATCACCCAATTATGACGATTTATAACCAACTGTTATTGACAATGTTATTGACCGTGGCAATCTAGAATGAGACAAAACAACCTACTTTGCTAGAATGGGACAAAACAACCTACATGTACTTTGCCATAGGTGTTTTTGCTTATGTTGCGGATCTACGAGGAAGTGGGTGTACTTGTCTCATACATTAGTATTTGACTTGTTGCGTCTGTTTGTCCATTTGTACATCCATCTTTTCCTCCGAAAACGTTTTTATAAGTTTATTTCAATGGCTGTACCATACTGGCATTAATAGCCATGCCTGTGAAATATATTAAAATGAGATATGTGTATATACATACACTCCCCTCCATAAGTTTGGCAACCTTTTTTCCTCATTGAACTACGTGTTAAAGCCTCTTTACCTTTGAATTTTTATTTACTTAACCTGCGATGAAAATACTTATACCATTGATGGAAACGTAATTTGACTTTAATTCCAATACCTCCAAATTTTCTCAATTTTTTTTCTCAATTACAATAGGTCGAAAATTGATGATAAATTTGATGAATTTTTGAAAATCGACATTCCCATGTTAACCAATGGGAAATGGTAGGTGTGCCGCAAGTCATATGACAGAATATCCATCCATCCGAGTCCTTGCAAAAAATACGAGTTAGGCAGGCAATTGAATTTGCTAACTTCATCTAACAAAAAATTGATATGTTTCTTCAGGTTCAACAAAGTTATAGGGCTTTAAAGTCAAAGTTGTTTTTCAAAAAAACTCTCCCATTGAAATAACACAGGAGGCGAAAAATTATTTTCAAAAGTGACTTTGGAGCACTGTAACTTTTATATTCATCAAATAAACTAAACACTTAGTGTTTTAAAAAGTTAGACAATTCAATTTTCTATATAAAAATATTTTTTGCTGAATCTTTTACTGAAACGATATCCTGATTTCTGATTTGCCCCGAACCCTCCATTTCCCATTGGATTACATGGGAATGATGATTTTCAAAAATTCATCAAATTTATCATCAATTTTTGACCTATTGTAATTGGGGGAAAAAAATGAGAAAATTTGGAGGTATTGGAAATAAGGTCAAGTTACGTTTCCATCAATATTATAAGTTATTTCATCGCCGGTTAAGTAAATAAAATTTCAACGGTAAGGAGGCTTTAACACGTAGTTCAATGGAGAAAAAAGGTTGCCAAACTTATGGAGGGGAGTGTAGATCAAATTAAAT